GTAGGTGTATGTCATCAAATTTTCCAATTATATCGGAGATGGAAACCACAAAGTTTTCCAGGAGATTATCATTAGGGAATAAATTAGCTTGTAGAGAATGACCATTAGAAAGGGAAGAGGTAGGGGTTCTTACAATATTGTTGTGTGCTACCTTATCATTGCCTACAGAAATTGGAACTGGTCTAGTTGGATTATTTCTAAAAACAGTCTTTCTATAAGATTGAGAGGCAGGAGGAGCAGGGTGAATACTTGATACCTGTTGAGATAAAGTAGAGAGGAAAGGTGTCCCTAAAGATACAGCTACATCAGCGTAATGTTTTCTAACTGCAGAGAAGCGAGCAGATGCTTCTAAATATGAAACATTTTCTTGGGGAAACTTTTACTTTACAGTTACCAAGTGGTTAGCAGAACAGAACAGGCATGTTGGGATATCTATAACACAATTATCTCCAGTGTGCACTTTTGAGCATTTGAAACAGCGTGGTTTTGATCTGCACTGAGCCTTTACATGTCCATAGCGACAGCACTTCAAACATTGTATGGGAGGGAGTATGTAGGTTTCGACAGGAATTGATGTGTAAAAGCAATATAAGTGAGAAGGAAGCTCTTGGCCTGAAAATGTAAGGACAACGGTTTGGGTGGCCTTTTCGATGTAATCTCCTAGCCTTTATAATTTCTCCTCTAATAGGGGGTAGGTCCGACTCACACACCAACTTCTACATAGATCTGTCGGTAGGTATACCTCTAGCAACACCCATACTGGTAACGTTAAAGGTTGGAATGACTGCTGATAGTTTGTATTTAGCAGGAAAAGAGTGATTCGTTAGTTATTGGCATCTGAAGCAGTTTTAAAAGCTATTGAGACCTTATTTTGGGGTAGAATATGGCTGATCTTGACTGATCGGATTGTATAACCACATGAAGGATCGGGTTATATACGCTTAAGGCGAATAGTAAAAGGCCCTTTATCACTATATGTGTATTTTTTCTTTTCTAAAAAAATCATGGTGGGTGTAAATATTTTGATATGACGCTGATGGCGTATCTTCATGACAAACTTTTTTTTATGAATGCTTGAAGTTAATTTAAGTTTTAGTTAATTATTATATATCGAAATCATCATACCGACACCAGACGGATTATCTTTATCCGGTGGTTCTGAATCTACCCCATCGACGTCTACCGTATTAGTTAAGAATACATAAATTAATAAACTACCGCTACTTACCAACCAGTAAGCAATGAACAACACAACACAAATTTTTATAATGATAAACACAGAAGATGACAAAAATTTAATATTTTCGAACATTCTGTCTCCATGTACATAGGTCTACATGGACTTTATGATTTCTTTTAGGGACTGCCTGTTTAAGGAAAAAATAAGATAACTTAATTATATTTTTTTATTAAGAGAATTTCACCATCTGAATATAAAATCTATAACCATATGTTTAACATATTTTTAATTACTTCTAGATTAAGTATTAAATTAGGTGTACCCAATGACCGAATAAATGCTAGTGTTCTCTTGTTTATTTAATTCCTCAGAGAGGTTCTTAAATTAGTTTCTTTTTTTTTTTGTATTACTTTTCACGATGGTACTTACGACTTTATTTAAATTATCTTTATTTTACCGTGTAATCGTATTGTCTACTACTGAATGAAATAATGAATATCTACCTCGTAGGTGTCGTAAGAGGCGACAAGGGGAACAGATCAGGAGATGGGCAGCAGCATCTTCAGCGCTTGCCAAACGTGGCAACTATGGCTCTATATATAATAATAATAATAATAATATTCCACAACTATCACACAACGCCATCTAGTCCCAAGCTAAGCAGAGACTTCTGCATGTGTTATGGGTACTAGACAACTGATAAACATTTACTTATATATTTCTAAATACATAAATATTATAGATAAATTACACCCAGACACAGAACAAATGATCGTGCTCATCACCACAAACATTTGTATCTTGTTTTTGAGATAGGAATCGTACCCAACGACCTCCGGCGATAGTCAGTCAGTGGTCACTAACCCGACTATTGACCAACAGGTAACCTTCGTCAACCTATGCTCCCTATGAGGCAATCTAAGGGGAAGGCCATGTAAGGCAGTGGACTTTCTTAGGTTTTTACGGTAATTGTAACCGATACTATACTATACTCTTTTAATTCTGTGGAAAGAATTATTTACATAAGCTTAACTTAATTAAGCATCAACTTACATATTATTTAACTCTAACTTTATTTTCTATTCGTTATCTTGACGAACTTTGATAGCATTGTCGTACTTTTAGCGACAGTTAATCGAGATTTATATATATTATTACTAGCTTTTTACCCGCGGCTTCGCTAGCGAAGGCTTCCATTGAGGAACATCATTAACATTGCTCCATACCAAAATCAACAAAATTGGATCACTTGTAGAGTCGCCTCGTTGTCACGTTTGTTAGTTAAGTGATATCCTTTGAATTCTTAAAGCTTATTAGAAGTAGATTTTTTTAGAATTGAATTAATATCATACGTCTAGCAACCCCTATCACTTTTTATATCGGTCATGACTTCCGAGGTATCTTTAATAAGGGTAAATTGTCTTTGATTAAAAGTTAAATTATTTACTTTTTGCTCTTTACATTTATTGATAAATTAAAGTATTTTAATTTTGACCAAATAATGTAGAATTTCGTTGTCTTTAATGTACGGCATAGTGTTTATTTGCGATATTTGTTTTATATCATTGGCCTATTGAATATTGTCACCATAAAATAGTTGCTTATATTTTTCTAATCCATCAAAAAGAATAGAGACAAAAACTTACATCTGATAACTTAATACCAAAGGAAGTTAGTGAAATGATTGCTATGCCGATATACACCTAATAAGTATAGTTACTAAAAAGTTTCTCTTTTAATCGCAGTTTTGTATACACAGTATTCAGTATAACAGTTTAGTTATTTATTTTGCTAAACGTGGCAATTCCGGTAAATCATCCCGATAATGGCTGGATATTTTAAGTTTTAGATCCTGCAAGAATAAGTGTTTAGCTGCATTATACTTAATCTTATCAGTTAGTCATTATTAGTTTATTTAGCAGTAAATAGATGGCGCTAATTTTAGATTAAAACTATAAAAGCCAAAAATCTTAAATTATGTAAATGTGACCAAATCGTAGAATTGATCATATTATCGTGAAGTTCTGGACCGCTTCAAATATCACAGTCATTTTATGATATCCTATTATTACTGACCATCTCTCCATAGTGTAAAACAAAGTCGTCCCACCGTCTATACGCTTAGATCTTTTAAACTACGCAACGAATTTTGATGAGGTTTTCAACAATAGACAGGATGATTCAAGAGGAATGTTTATATATATAATACATACATATTATAGTAATCTATAAATATAAAAATCAATTGCTGTCCGATAGTCTCGCTAAAACTCACCGATTTTAATGAAATATTTTGTGTGTATTTAAGTGGGTATGGTTTAGATTTACAAGTTGATTTTATATCCGGTAGGTGGTGCTGTTACCGATATCCAGAAATCATGCGTGCGAAACGGGGGTGAATCGCTAGGATCGTATAAATGTCAACATTTGCCAAATTTATCCCGAACCTACAATTGAATCTACGAAGTCAATTCTCGTTTCGCCATAATATCATACTAAAGCACCATCTAGTAATATCAGCGACAGTAGATTGATTTGCGGCTGGGGTTACCTCAAAGCCGCGAACATTTGTATATATTTTTTATATATAAATTAATTTCCGCGATGAAGCATAGAGTTATGTGGATTCTGTTAAAATTCTGTTACTGTTAAAAAAATGCGCTATCGGCGCCGCTAGCGGTGAATATAGAAAATATTTTACGAGTACCATATAATTAGAATATTATGAAAAAGCAATGTAGTTAGATATGCAATGGTTTAGTTGTTAATTTCTTCAAACAATGTTTATTCATCGATTTGGTCAAACCTTATCATGATATGGTTAACAGACAGTGTTAATTTTCATAAAATGCCACAATTTCATGTAATGATCGAATATTCATGATAAAATCAATTCTACGATCTGGCCACGACGTATACAAAAATATCTTTAAAGTATAAGTGTAATAAGAGTTTTGCAATAATCGCAGGCATCAGGAACCAGTGTTATCATCATCATCATCATTACAGCCCTTCACAAGTCCACTGCTGAACATAGACCTCCCCCAAGGTATGCCACTAAGCACGATCCTGAGCCACCTGCATCCATCGACTTCCTGCATGTCTTACCAGGTCGTCACTCCATCTAGTGGGGGGTCGCCCTACACTTCGCCTACCGGTACGAGGCTGCCACTCGAGAACCTTTTTTCCCCAACGGTTGTCAGTTCTTCGAGCTATATGGCCGGCCCATTGCCACTTCAGCTTACTAATCCGTTGGGATATGTCGGTCACTCTGGTTCTCCTGCGGATATCCTCATTTCTAAGTTTATCACGCAGAGAAGCTCCGAGCATAGCCCTCTCCATATATATCCCCCCATGAGTAACCAGTGTTAATCGGTTCATTATTATATATTAGTAATTAAACTAAATACCACCTGAGTTTTCATACATTTCACTATAATCTATTTATTTATCTATTTTACTGGAAATGAGGCATTCCATCTCAGTCCTCACGGGTGACAACGCATCTGCATTTTGATTTGTAATGGAAGATAGATGTAGATGTCTATGGGCCGCAGCAACCACTTACCATCAGGTGGACTGTGTGCTCGTTTGTCAGCCTATTCTATAAAAAAAAATATAATCTATTTAAATTATTATTATTATTAAAATTAAGAAATGAAAAACGTAAAATAAATCTTAGAAGTTTCAAATTGCGAGAGGTGTGAGCGCCATGCCTCGGCAGAATTTAGGGTGCAAAGGCCAGTTTGTGCTTATGGCCACACACGATACGGTGCCGGTCCTGGGCGTCTCCCGTTAATGGACGTCCAAATCATGGGTGATGGATAAAAAGATAGTGCACAAAGGGCCGCTGCCTAGAGGTCGCCAGGGCGCGTCTGGAGCTGACGCTGGACGTGACTGCATGCGGGCCGCCAGCCGAGCGCGGCGTGCTACAAGACCACCTAGCAGCCCCCCGCATCCATCATCCTCACCAGAAGGCTTGGTGTCGGCTGGGTCTTCTGGGACTCAGCAATCGGCACCCGCCGCCAGTGGAGCACGTCGCATGCGTTGGTCACAAATAATGAACGATAAGGCACTGCGGGCGTCTTTTAGGGCAAAAGGGGAAGAAACTGGATGTTTAGCGTTTCAGGCTCGGATGCATCGCTTTTTTGCAGAGCCGGAGCCATCTCTATCCGTCACTGAGCAAAACCTGGCAGACCGAGTTCGGTACATCCTACGCTCCAACATATTTGGTTACGCCGAACTCGGACGACTACGACGTGAGGCTGTTCCCTCATCGAATGGAAACGCTACGGCTGGGAATGCGGCGCCACTAGTTGTGCAGCAAACTGCATGTGTGGATGCTGCCGTCAATATTCCATTAGTGGTTGATTCAGACGATGATGGAATCTCGAAAATCGACCGCGACTTCCCCGCATACCCCTTAGCAAGCGAAATCGGGCTGTCATGCGGGCTCTTAACCCACTGCTGGTGACCTATTTGGAAGCCAGCCGGGACCTTTGCGAGACAGACTCAATTCTTTTTGGCAGTAATGCCGTATCATTGGCGCCAAACTTCCCATGGCTGGGTGTGCTACTCGACAAAGTAGCGCCATCCTAGCCTGGAGAAAAAGAATCGAGGACCGTATCGCAAAGGCAAGGGCCCTTATCGGCAGACTGACAAGCTTCAGGTCGGGTAATAATAGACCGAGAGTTATGCGCACCGTTAGAATGGCGTTTGCTGGGACAAATATTAGTTTTCCCAGCCGGATATCACGCAGAAACTAACGGAGCGCATAGAAGACCTGAAGCAAAAAAATTGCTGCTTGGGGGGAAACGGATTCGACGATTTAGCGAGAGGTCAAGGCGGTTCAACCAGAACCGTCTCTTTCAGTGTGATCAGAAGAGGCTCTATAAATCATTGGAGCGACCAGAGGTATGTGGAGCGGGCCCAGGACCCGATCAGGCCGACACTGTCGCACTTTGGCGTGGCCTGTAGTCAGAGCCCGTAAACCACAGCGAGGTCCCTTGGATGGAAGTTGTGGCGAGCCAGAGTGAGAGTGTTACGCCTATGGACCCTGTCACCATAACGCCGGAAGACGTGGCTGAGGTGGTCCGTAGGGCTCCGAACTGGAAAAGTCCGGGGCTCGACGGGCTGCATCATTACTGGCTGAAGGGGTACGTAGTGTGTCACGCTGTGCTCGCCCGACAGTTTCAAGAGGCTCTCGATCAGAAGTCGCTCCCGAGTCTCTTCACTACTGGGATCACTCACTTGGTTCCCGAAGATCAGGATATCACAGATCCAAGCAAATACTGCCCCATCACGTGTCTAGCCACCATATATAAGACACTGACATCCATTTTGAGCGCGAGAATCATTCATCACCTCGAGCTAAATCAGGTGATGTCACGCGCTCAAAATGGATGTCGGGGCGGTGGTCGTGGAACCAAGGAACCACTCCTCATTGACGCGGTCATTGGCAAAGTGGTGAAACGCAACCGTGGGAACTTCTTCGCCGCCTGGATTGATTACAGAAGGGCATTCGACTCGGTGCCCCATACATGGTTAAAGAGGGTACTCGAGCTGTACAAGATTGACTGTACAGTAAGAGACTTTCTCGGGCAGTGTATGGGGCAGTAGAGTACGATCCTTTGTTATCTGGGCGAGCGGATGATGGCTGCGGAGAACCACATAAGGATAAGAAGGGGTATCTTCCAGGGCGATTGTCTGAGTCCAATCTGGTTTTGCCTCTCTCTGAACCCTCTCAGTACCTTACTGGAGGGATCCGGATGGGGATTTCAGCTACGGGAGGGAGGGAAAAAAGGGACCCACCTTTTCTATATGGGTGACCTCAAGTTATTCGCCTCCAGTCGCTCCCATCTTTTGGAATTGCTAAACATCACTTGAGAATTTAGCAATTCTATTGGAATGGAGCTGGGGACGGATAAGTGTGCGGTCCTCCATGTTGAAAGAGGGAAGGGTTGCTAACTCTGAGGGCATAGACTTATCTATGCCCATCAACTTAAAGACCCTTTCCGAGGCTGAAACATACCGATACCTGGATATGTCACAGAACATCGGTATCGATGAGGCTGGTACAGTGAAACAGTCAGTTTGCGACGAGTTTTATGCACGCTTGACCAAAGTGCTTAACAGCCTTTTGTCCGGTGTGAATAAGACACACGCATGTAACGGTTGGGTCATGCCTGTCCTCATTATTATGCGAAAAGTCCGCACTACCATGACGTCTCATAGGATGCATCATCCGAGATCGTCGGTAATGAGGCTATACTTGCCGCGAAAGAATGGTGGTCGTGGCTTCTTGAGCGCGCTTACCATGCATAATCGCGAAGTGTGCAGCCTCCGTAATTACTTCCTGGCGAGATCGGATTATCCATTCTATAAAGACGTCATTTCTTGTGATAAAGGACTTACCCCTCTATCCTTAGCCAACAAGCAATGGCATGACCCAGCAGTGCAGAGCATTTCCGACCGGGAGACCGTATGGAAGGAGAAGGAGCTCCACGGGAGGTTCTACAAGGCTCTACTATGTGAGTCTTTCGTAGACACAGTAGCCTCCCTCCACTGGCTACGCTTTTGTGATCTCTTTGGCGAAACCGAGGGTTTTGTCTGTGCAATACAGGATCAGGTTATTAAGACCAACAACTGTCGGAGATACATCCTAAAGGATGGCACCGTCGACATCTGTCGAGCTTGTCGCCATCCCGGTGAGTCACTTAGGCATGTCATCTCCGGTTGTTCGGCGCTTTCTAACTCTGAGTACTTGCACAGGCACAACCTAGTAGCCAGAATTCTTCACCAGGAGCTCGCTCTGAAATACGGTCTCGTGGATCGAAAATTGACGTATTACAAGTACTTGCCGGAAGCCGTGCTCGAAAATGATCGCGCCAGGCTCTATTGGGACCGGGCCATCATCACAGACAGGACTATTCTTACTAATAAACCTGATATTGTGCTCATGGACCGGGCACAGTCAATGATATTTTTGGTCGACATTACCATTCCGTATGACGAGAACCTCGTGAAAGCCGAAACAGATAAGAAAACAAAATATCTGGACCTGACTCACGAGATGACCGACATGTGGGGTGGTCTGCCAACCGAAATTATTCCTGTAGTCGTTCTCTGCAAACGGGCTAATCCCGGTCAACCTCTCTGGTCATCTGAGGCGGCTGGGACTACGTGGCGGACCTCTCCAGGCTCAAATGCAGAAGGCGGTGCTCCTCGATACCGCCCGCATCGTCCGCCGCTTTCTTTCCCTTTCCCCCTAACTCTCAGCCGTTTGGCCTCCCCTGCCGAGGGCCTCCATCTGGTTGGGCTTTTATTTATTTATGTATTTTTATATTTATTATATGTTATGGATATTTATGTATATTTACCTTTATAATTATATATTTATAATTATATATTTTTATATAATTATAAATATATAATTATAAAGGTAAATATATATTTTATATTTAAAAATATATATTTTTTCATTTATAATTATATATTTATACAACCCAACCAGATGAGAAAACAATATTGATACCCCCCAATTTAATAAATGTATATTAAATAATTCTTATTAAAAATAAATAATAATAAGTTGTAAAAGTAAGTTGAAGCAAAGAAGAGAGCATGGCTAGATTTACTAGCAACAAAGGCTGGTAATTCTAGCGGTACGAATGGATGATATTGAAAGAAAAAAGGCAGTCTTTAAACATCTTAATAAGAGAGTAAAAGAAGTAGTTGAAAGAAAAAAGCAAGAAAGAACGGATAAGAATGATAGAAAAATATCGGATAACTTCCAGGCAAATATTAAAATGTTCTGGAAACTTGTAAGAACTGCCAGGAGACATTCAAAACAGCCTATGATTAATGTTATAAGAGACGAGAATGGCTATATTCTGAAAGATGAAGTTTTGAGTTTAAAGAGATGGAAGGAATATTTTGAAAGCGTGTTTATGAGTGAAGAGACAACGTGTGTACTAAGTGAAGTAGAAACTCCGAAACAAGAGGAAAGAGGTAACGAGATAAGTATAGATGAAATAATGAAAGCAATAAAAAGCATGAAAGCAGGTAAGGCTGCCGGATATGATAGAGTTTCACTCGAAATGCTAAGGGCTGGAGAGGAAGTCGTGGCAGGCCTGCTGCACACCTTGTTTAATTTATGCTGGGAACTGAAGCGGGTACCGGTAGACTGGTGCAAAGCCGTGATAGTCCCAGTATATAAAGGAAAAGGGTCGCAGCAGGACTGTAAAAACTACCGTGGCATCAGCCTTCTTAGCATTGTGAGAAAACTGTATGCTAAGGTACTGATTGAAAGGGTCATGAAAGAAACTGATGGAAAAATTTGGGATGTGCAAGCGGGATTCAGAAAGGGAATGGGATGTACAGATCAAGTCTTTTCCATGCGCATGATCGCGGAGAAGTTTTTGGCCAAAAACCAAAAGGTTTTTTGTGCGTTCATGGACTTGGAAAAGGCCTATGACAGAGTGGATAGGGATGTGCTATGGCAAACACTGAACTCATTTGGGTTGAGCGCTGGCTTGATACAGGCATTGGAGTCTCTTTATAGGGACTATAGTGCTTGTGTTAGGATCAACGGGGTCTACTCGGACTGGTTTGACATCCATAAAGGTGTCAGACAGGGCTGTGTGGCTTCCCCGTGGCTGTTCAACTGACAGTTGTTTGCAAAATTTGAAAGTTGAAGAATGCGGATTAAGAATGGGTGAGTTAACCGTCAAATGCCTTTTGTACGCCGATGATCAAGTTATCCTTGCGTCGTCGGCGGCCGAGTTGCAAATGATGGTTACATTAATGAACAGATCATTAAAAGAAAGGGGTATGAAAGTGAACGCAAGTAAGATGAAGGTTATGGTTTTTGAAAGAGAAGAAAGTAAAACGATTTGTGAAATAAGAATAGAAGGAGAGTTGATCGAGCAAGTAGATATTTGGGCTGCGTATTTAGCAGGGATGGGAGATATGATAAGGATATAGAACGACGAGTGAATGCGGGAAATAGAGTAAATGGGGCCCTGTACTCTATTGTGAAGAGTCAAAATGTGTCAAAAAAGGCACGTATGGCAATTCACAATGCTGTGTTGGTCCCTAATTTAACGTATGGTAGTGAAAGTTGGGTGTGGCAGAAGAAGCATGAGAGTAGAATCAACGCAGTAGAAATGCGGTCTTTAAGGAGTATGTTAGGGCTGAATCTGAACGACAGGGTAAGAAATTGTGTAATAAGAGAAGAGTGTGGTTTGCAAGATGATGTTGTGACCAGGATTAAAAAAGGAATGCTTCGGTGGTTTGTTCATGTGGAAAGAATGAATGAGGAAAGAGTGACAAAGAAAATTTATGTTGCAGAAGTGAATGGCAGAGTCGGAAAGGGACGTCCTAGGCGAAAATTTATCGACCAAATTGGCGATTTATTGAAAACGGGCCAAATTAGGAGTACCCTTAACCGACGAGCATGTATGCGTAGATATA